AAAAAAAAAAAAAAAGGATTTCTTTAGCTATAAACAGCATTTCAGCACTACCTTGAGAGACCTGAGTGATTCTATGGGTTCATAAAGTTTTGTTGCTTTCATCCATGTTTAACAAAGCCAACTCAATAAATGTAGCTGGAGGACCTCACAACTTGTGACCTAACAGTCAAAATTCTGGTGCAGTTTGTATCTTTACTCAGCCGGTATAGAAGGACCTCCATCAGCAATGGCCCTGGCAAAATACATCAATCAGGAAGTTCTGTAGGCGTTGACTTATGGCCAACTATAATGATGACCCGAGTGCTGATCAGGAAGTCAGGGTTAAAGGTCGGCTTATTAAAGTATTCCGTAAGGAAGAAGGCAATCAAGATCAAGGCAACTGGTGTCTACATGCTCAGGGACCCTCTTCTGTCCCTCTCTTGGATAGAAGATTTCTTTCCCCCCAATAAATAGATTCTGCTCATAACCTCAAAAAAAAAAAAAATGATCAAGGAGACTTTTACTTTGAAAGATTCATGCATCTCTTCATGTAACCTATTTGCCAACTCCAAGTAATTTTCAAAGAAGTAAAAGAACCATCTAACTTTTCTCCAAAGCACAAATCATTTCACTTTTTTCTTCTAGGTGATCTTCTCTTACCTTCACTCTGGCAAGTTCTCAAGGACAGCAATGCTAACGCAAATGCTGTTTGAAAGACTGCAAACAATGCCATGGGTTCTGATTTTCTGAAAAACACAAATTATAAAGAGGAGAATTTTTATTAATTTTAATTTAGAGCAGGTTTCTTGGAGGCAATTCTAGACGATGCCATTGAAGGGTCTCATTCTTATCCCCGCCCTGTATTCACATCTCGTCTTCTTACGCTAGAGGAAGAGAATGTCTCCCTGTCTATGAAACTTTCTTTGGTCCCTAAGTGAGGCATAACCAATAATGTGCCAATCAGGCACCTGATCCTCAGCATATAGTGCATGCTTCTGCTTGTTCTTTTTGCTTCCACCTTCAAGCATGAAAAGAGCCCTTCTGGCCTGCCCTGCGGCCCCAGGGGAGAACACGCAAGGCAGGCACAGAAGCAGCCGTGACTGCTCGCCTAGCCTGATCATGCCTGGTGCCGGCCAGACCCAGTCAGCCCCCGGTAACCCCAGGGGCCGGAGCAAGGATGCTCACTGCCATGCACTGTGGAAGCACCGAGGCTGTAAACACTGATCAATCAATTCACTCTGACCAAGAAAACACTGTTTAAAAAAGGTTAGGCAGAGAAATGAGAGTTAAACAAGGAAAATGGACTGTCATTAGAAAGAACAGGCATTGTATTTTCCAAAGAGCTACTTCTAATTACTTGTCAGGGGAGTATCCTCATTCTTCTCTATTGCTTTTATTAAAACTCAACCTAGAAGTTAGCATATTTTACTAGGAAACAGTTTTTCACTGCTGAACATAATTTCTGTTTTTTTTTTTTTTTTTTTTTTGTTTGTTTGTTTGTTT